ACAACCTTACTTTGAAAATGCGCGCCAAAACGCAACAGCTGCGCTATCTGCACCAGGTCCGGGTGAGGGAGGAAACAAACTTAGTCCCCCGCCTTTTAACATTGAGTGAACCGGCCCTGTAGAGGAGCTCGCGTGTTGGTTATGAATGTAGTACAAAGTAACAGATAGTTATTGTAATATTTTCTTTCTTTTATAAGGTAAGTCAGCTTCGAATGCTCTGAAATATATCTGTGTCGTGTAATAATTTACTCTTCAGAACTGTTTTCTTTGTTGGCATTCAACTATTATTAAATAAATAAACACGTGTCTCGCATTTTGACTTTGAGGTCATGTAGAGAACTATAAGAGACGATATTCACTCCTTCAGAATAAAGCAATTATGTGGGAGTTGTGGTTAAGTTTTGTGGTGTAGTTTACAACTGACAAAACATCACCTCCAACAAAAACTGCAAATAGTGTGCTATTACAGTGTGTATTGCCTTGCCAAAGTAGCTGCTACATCAATTGAATTAAATACTTTGTATTTGGCATTTTCAAGTGTGGGGATGGAGCCTCATCAGGGTAACCAAATACCCCTTTCTGGAAGCGAAAGTGTTGATAACAAAAGAGGAAACGCTACCAGTAGTTCATCAATTTCCAAACGGCGAAAAAAAAGAAAAGGGAAAGCCAAGAAATATAACAAATTCACTGCAATTGCAGGATGTAAAGGTGAGTAATGGAGGGGAAGATAGGAACCATTTTACACAAATGTATTTAATACAAATATTGAAAGAATTTTAAAAATTGTTTGTAGTACAAATGAGTCCTAAAATATTTTAAATATATTATTATAATTATATTTAAATGCAAATATTGTATTTCATTATTTGAATAGTTTTCATTTTGCAAGAGTTAAAGTGTAAAGTTTAATTTTTGTTATAATTTGGATTTCTTGTATTCAGCATTTCAATATTAGGGGGCCTCATGGTTTCATCATGTTTGGAGCTCATTGGGATTTTAATCTGGCCCTGGAGTTGGGGATGGGGAAGTAGGGATGCACTAGGTTGGGGCTGTTGCTCGTGGGACATGGTTAGGCTGTGTTGGAATTGGGGCGGTGGAAGACAGATAATCCTTAGAAAGGTACTTTATCTCCGAAATATCCTCCCTAAGAAAGTCTTCTGGTGTATTCATTCCAATTGCAGAAGTCCTTTAGCTTTTCGACACGCATGAGTTTGGAAATTATATTTTTTGACCAAATAAGTCTAAATAGAATTCAAATTGTTGGTATTGAAGAGCTTCCATTTCTGTTTTTAAGGTTCAAATGATGTGTAGTGGTAGGAGTAGAGTTGGGGGTATGTTGCTATTTTGTTGGTAATACAGAGGAATCAAATCTTGAGTTTGTTTCCCAATGCAAATAAGTTTTCTCTCTGGAATGAAAATGTCTAGTTTTTACAAATTTTGCTGATTGTGTGCTTTTAAATTTTATTTTATTTTTTAAAAAATTTTATTATTCTTTCAACTATTTATAGTTTAAATGTTAGGAAGGGGTTATGGAACTAAAAAAAATGTGATCAGTTCATTTTCTCCCCCATATGGCACATAGTTTTTACTGTTTTTTTTACCAAATAAATAAATAAAAGGCAACAATAATAGTAATGATGATTTCATTTTGGTTCTTTGATAGTACACTTACCATTCTAAGATCATGGCATGAATGGCCTGAATTGAGTTTAACAAACTATTGACTAATACAAATTTTAACTGTTTTACTGTCAAACTGTGTAAAATAAAAATTAAAAAAAAATTCTCATGAAATAGGATGAGTACTATGTTACTAATTAATGTTTAATATTAGTATACAAATAATTACATTGAATGTAAAAAATACATACATTGTAACATAATATATATACAATTACAATATACAATTAAATACATACAATTTTTTAGTATATAATACTAAGTTTCATATTTACATTTATCTATACACTAGCACATATAGATTCAGCACAGTACATTTCATTTTTTTTTTTTTTTTTAATTTCTATGCAATCCACAATATTCCACATGGCAGATAATGTTTTTTTATGACTTGACTAAAGAATATAATGCTTGTTTATTAAGTATTTCTTTAGTTCTTTTTTGAATTTGAAATTACTTACATTTTTTATTTTATTTGGCAATTTGTTGAAAATTTTCACTCCCAGAAGATGAGGATACCTGTCAGATTTTTGAGTCTGTACTCACAATGTGTTTATTGTTATTATTTATGGTATTATAGTTCTGTATATCTTTTTCTAACATGGTTCCATTGGACTTAGTTAAAAGTATGGTATTGTATATGTATAGCCCATTTACAGTTAGGAAATTCCGTTTGGAATTTATCTCTGCAGGTTTCTGTTCTTTTCATGTTATGTGTTGTTCTAATTGATTGATTTTGCAAAGTGAATATTTTAGATACATATGTTTTGTGTGTACCACCTCACATATTAATTCCATACAGAATATGAGTATATATTATTCTGTAATAAATCACTTTTAGTTCCCTTTCTCCTAGTATTTTACCAAATTTTCCTAATACAAAAATTCCTGACCTCGGTTTATTTCACACTGTCAATGTGACCCTCCCAGGATAAGGAACAGTCCATCTCTTCTCCCAGGAATTTGATCATCTGTACATTTGGTATAGGTTCATTTTGTATATTTGTTGTAATGGATTCTTTGTCTGAAGGATTGTGTGAACATTACTGTATTTGTTTTGTTAACATTAAAATTTAGACCAAATACCTTGAACGATTGAACAGTTTCTAATAGGCAGCTTTTAGTTAATTTATTAATTCATCTTGTGATTTGTGCCAACATAGAAGCATTGTATCATCTGCATACATTGTAAATTTGTCATTGGTTTGTTGAAAATTATTGACATACACTATATACAATAATGGGCCTAGCACTGATTTTTGTGGAAGTCCACCGTGCGTAGTAATTGTTTGATCTGCATCTGTTTATGGTGTTATTTTTGAAGTAGAGTGTTTCTGTAGATTGTTGGCAGTCAGTGGGAAATGATTTTAGAAGATGGAATGGTAGAATATGGACAATTCCCCTTTTTCCATATTTTTCTAATTTGTCTTAAGAGTATGGTTGGATTTACTTTACCGAACGCTTTGGACATATCCATAAATATTCCACTAACCTTCAATCCTTCGTGAAGCTTGGTTAGAATAGTATTGTACAAGTCTGTGATTGGAGTGATGGTTGAGTGTCCTTTTCTAAAACCATTCTGATAGTCTGACAGTAGTGAGTTTTCTTCAAAATAAAAATTTAACCTAGTTTCTTATAGTCAACCTAGCTTTTGTATATCTTTCTGTTATTGATCTTGTGATTTGTTTTGTGTTATTGCTATGTTTTTGGTGTTTTGCTTGAAGTCCAATGTAGCATAGCCGACCATAGCGTAATGATCTGAAATGTTCATATTCAGTACACCTGCTGTGCTCTCCTCATCTAAATTTGTGATTATGTTGTCTATTAAAGTGTAAGAGTGGGATGTTTCCCTGGTTGGTGTTTTTACTGCAAGTCGTAGTCAAACTGAAGTTACTAAATTTTTGAAAGTACGAGTAGCAAAATCATTATCTGCGATGTTTATATTAAAATCTCCCAAGATAATTATTGTAGGTGATGTTTTTGAATAAATTCACCAGTAGCTTTTCAAAACTAATAAAGAAGTTTGTATTCCAACTACAATTTTTTTTTGGTCCAAAACTGCTCACTGCAGCTACCTCAAAATCTTCTTTCATGTAGAACTGCTTTGTATTTTCTACTTGTCGTGATAAATTTCTTAAATATACTGCTACAGTAATTTACTTACTTAAATATAATAGTAATTACTTAAATATACTACTTTCTAAGTGCCGTGATAAATTTCTTAAATATACTGCTACACCTCCACCCTTATGAAGTTTTCTGCAGAAATAGTCTACTAATTTATAATTTTTGAGAGAGTACTTTTGAATTTTATTTTCTTTTAGACCGTGCTCTGTTACAATAAACATTTGTGACTGAATATCATTTAATGCAGTTTCTAATATCTCTGGTTTGTTGTTGGCCGTTTTGTTTGTTTTGGTAGATAATTTGAAAAGTGTATTTCATTGTTGCTATTACTTCATTTTGCTGATGGACGGCAGGGTTAATTAATTTTCCTGACCCTGAAAAGAGTAGCTAATGTTTTCAAGTATCAATTTATTTAGTATGATCTCTGAATAATTTGCGAGATCTCTTTCGCAAGCCACTGTTTCCCCAATCTATTCATTTGCATTTCATGACATGTAAACATGCCTCTATCTATTTTGTTTAAATTTAAAATATTACATTTGCGATATATTAAGCACAGATATTTCTGCTTAATATGAGTTTTCCTAATTTACTTGTTCAGGCAGGAGTTATAGAGAAATTGTGTCTATGAGGAATTGTTGCTACTATAATATTTTGATCCTGGTTTGCATTTAAAAATTGTTTAAAACCCCACAAACATTTTTCGGTTTCATTGCAATAGACATCATTTGCTCCTGCAATGCAGAGTCTTGAGTAGTTCCATTAAGTGGACCTACCCCAATAATGCTATTTGTTCACGCATCTGGTTTTATAATCCCCATTACTTAAAAGTTTTTATTTACCTCCTTAATATTGGATGACAATGATCTTCCATGGCTATCACCATACACTGACAAGTTTGGCCTACTATCTTGCGGTCATGTTCTACAGCAATCCTTAGTGCACTCCTCTGGCGGATCTCTCAGTGGCGATGGTTCGCTGGATTCATTCATCCCGTCTTCATTACACAAAGCTGTAAATTTGTGGGTCAGTTGCAGTTCACTGTCCTTTTACACTTGCCCACTGGCTTCCTTCTTTCGCCCTGTTCCAATTTTCTTGATTGTAACACACTACTCTCGTTTCTGCAACGTCTTCATGATGCCCATGTGGGCAGGATCCCCAAAGCGAGTTCTCTTCTTTTAATTTGCAGAGGTCATTTTTTATTGTAGAGATTACTTAAGATTAGAAAGTTTGCTACGGATTCCCTTAACTCGTTTTTGATGGTCAGCGCATTTTGTGTTACACCAAGACCCCTCTTTAAGACATACTAGAAAGATGCCACTACTGTGCCCAATGCCATTTTGGAACTTTACTGTAGTAGATTATATAATACTATACTATATAATAAATGTTATTAAGGATTACTCTGTTACCAAGGGCAGACTATATCCATTTGAATGTGTTACTTTTTATAGTATTTGAATGCATAGCTTCTAAAGCTATCATTTAATCTGCATTACCCAATTATAGTATGTTTCATTCCTGAGGTATTATAATTGTGATTATTTGAAAACTAAATATTGAATGAAATTAGTATTTACAAATATGTATGTAGCAACTCTTCCAGTTTAACATTTTAGAGCCAGGAATCCTTAAGATACAAGTACTAAATTATTGTTCTTTTTTCATAATTTTTTAATTATTTTATTATTATTATTATTAATAATTATTATTATTATTATTATTATTATTATTATTATTATTATTATTATTATTATTATTATTATTTGAAAAGTATTTGTTCATTCATTGTTAATAGCACTATATCAACATAAGATACCTTTTGTATATTTTGTATCAAATATATACACAATTTTTTTATACAAAAATGTAGCTGACAGAGCAATACTTTGCTATTGCAGTATATTAAATACACTTTAGGTTCAAATATAATTTATTCAATGAAGATCAACTACGCATTAACTACCCTTTACTCTATTGCGCCCACCTTGTTAATTAACGTTGTGCCTCACACGTTCGGTGTAAATCAAACCACTCTTTAAAAACTCCTGTGTTAATAAGAACAAACTGAAAGAATCAGTTGAATATTTTTTGCATCTATATGCGACAGCCCCTTTAATTTGTTTACAGATATGATGTGTTGACTCTTTTCTGCCTGGAAATATTTTGCGATTTTTTTAAAATTTTTTTTGAAAATGTGTTGGGAATTATTTGAGAACAAAAACAATATTATTTTTTTACAGTTATTTTTATGATGTGTAATGTGACAAACTATTCAAAAGAAAGTCTGGTTCATGAAAAGTTGTGTGTCTGATACAAAAGTTTAATTATAAAATACAGTTTACCATTTGAATGTGGTGTGCCGATGCTGTAAACTGTTTTAAAAGTATTTTCATGTGTTTAAAATAAATGTCTTGCCCAGCTTGGTTCAATAACTCCTGTTCATAAATTCCCAACTCCCAATGTCCTTGTATATTACTTCCATACAGGTTATGAACTGGTATTATTGCTGTTTAAAAATTACAATCGCTATAAAATATATTTCCAGGTATGAATAATGCAAATAGTTAATTTAGTACAGCTATATTTTTTACATTTTTAATAATCCTTAGTAAATACTACCAGGGTTACCAGAAAATGTTTCCCTATCAGAGGATATTTTACATTTTTATACTCCACGATGTATAGACAATGTACTCATTAATTCCAAACCATTAATAGTCTTTAAAAAGCATATTAGGCTTTGCATCATTAAAAATGACAGCTTTCGATCGGAGAACTTTGCCCTTGCACTCACCTTCATTATCCACCACGCAATAAATATAGATGTTTTAAATCACAGTAAGCGTAATGATATATTGTGCATACCATTTATTTGAGTAAAAATGTAGATATTCAAGACATGAAGTCCCTTAATAATTTTTTTTTTTTTAATTATACCAGTAATATATTCAATTCAACAGGACAAAAAGGAGGACATTCCACGTAACAGAACAGGAGGATTATGTTAAAAAAGGAGGACAAGTCCCCCAAGTGGTGGACAGGTGTTGTAATATTCGCAAATCCGCCCCTTTTAAAATTAATTACCTGTTATTCCTTGACTGAAAATGTAATACTAAATGTTCCATGCGTTGTCATTCCTAAGAAAATTCTCTCAAATTCTCGTTACTAATCTAAGAACAAACGCGTGTTTTCATCTGTATTCATAATACAAAATATGTATGGGATAGGATAGGGATCCAGAAATTAAGAAATCGTTTACAGAATACTATGTCACACACAGTTTTCAACTTAGTTTACACGCAATTTTATCTTTCGTTATATTATGTAACTAAATAAATAAAATCTAAAGCCTCATAATGGTTACATGTCCAACGACGAGAGGAATGCAAATGATCAAATATACAATTTCATAAATGTAAAATTACGCTAAGCTACTCATATTTTTAAATAATTGTACGTGATTTATTATTTTTTAATTTTAAGGAACTTAATTTTTTGAACCGATTTCGTATAACAAAAAATCTATCAGTAATGTACTTTTGCGATGTTAAATTTTTATTTTCAGTTTTCGAAAATAGTGCGCCGAAAACGGGAAAAGCATAATTTTCTTTACCCTACTCTGCAACATACATGAAAAAATTTGAAGCCATTTGAGAAAATGGTTTTAAAAGCGCATATTTTTACGTAAAATTACATTAAAATATTCATATTTTCGAAAACGTGAACTTGATCTTATTTAAAAATCTGTTTCTGCTGAACACATTTCATGAAGAAAACAATATCTTCGTAATTGTAGTTGTAGAAAGACGCCCAAAAATATTTCAATTCTTGTTATTCTCGAAAAATTCTATTCTCTTAAACGTCCTTTACGCTATCCGACAGTAAAATTTAAACAAAAAATGGAGCGTGTTTTGAAATTTTTGAAAATGTTGTAGGGGCTTCATGCCAAACACCTCCTTTCTCCCATACACACACAAAATGTTTCAAATTCAGGGGCAGTCATATCTGACATTAGATCAATTCAGGAATATTAATTTTCGTGAAAATTTTGCTTACGGTTTCGCCGCTTGCGTTGTTCAAAGACGGCCGGGCGTTTTGCCGTCAATCGATTTTTCGATATCAAGAACCCATAAAACGAGGCTACACCACGTGTTAAAGTAATTTACTATATGTAGGCGCAAGATTAATCCAGGGCCTGGTAATAAGTTATTCTGTCGAAAATTCGTCATTTTCCCCTGCAGCATTTCAATATTTTCTCAATGCTCCGTAGGCAGTGGCGAGTGAGTGTGAAGGATAAATTAATCAAATCCATCTCTTAAAAGCACGATGTAAAATATTAAATGCAAGATATTTTTACGAACTTTGTGAACAAGGGCGTCTTTCAACTAGCAAATTCAGTTCAAGGGAGATTTGCGTATTTTGTTACAAACAAATTGTCGCTTTGTCTTTGTTTTTCGCCAAGTGAGCAAAATAATTTTACTTTTTATTTCAAAACTTGTGTCGCACTATAATTGCAGCGCACCCTCATTTTCAGTCATGAACAGCCTCTGGTTACACTTTGCACACTAAATCATCAAATATGTTACATTTCTTACAATTCACAATCACGAAAATGCGTGTCTAACATATTAGTATTACAAAAGCCGTTGCAACTCAAGTGTACGCACGGAGAAGTTTCAGAGTCCACCTCAAATCATTTACGTTTCACGTAATTATTAACGTTCATCCCCTGCTCCGTTTTTAACAGTTACACTTGAAAGAAATGCCGAAAGTTCAACATTAGAAGTTTAAAAGGATCGGCTCAATTTTTTGTATAATTACTATCATAAGTTTCTAAAAGTAAGAAGTTGATAGAGATAAGAGGCTTCGAAATTGAAAACAGCAATATTTTTCTTCTTTCAGTGTATGCCGAATTTCCCAGATGGAGTCCTGCTTTCATACGGTTGATGTTGGATTTCATGCACAACGGTCAAACATGTCCTAAGGTTACTATTATTTTGTCATATTTTTTCTTTGTTGATGCATTTGTTTGTTACTTCATCATTTGTACCTTTTGCTATTGTAAGCAAGAATCAACCAGTCTTAATATTAGATGGAGTAATTGTGTATATTTTAGGTGAAGATGTTATTTTACGTCGTTAGAATGTCGTTGGGGCTTCATGAACTCCCAAAAATTAAAATATTCGTTTCAAATTCAAGGGATCGGGACATCAGATAGGTCCGGTGATAATACCAGTAAGTTACCTGCGCCGTTCGCAGTGGGGCAGTTGGAGATTTCACTGAAAACCAATTTTTCGGTAACAAGGGCCAACAAAATGTGGATTCTGACTACACTGCTTCTTAGGCGAGTGATTTACTAAATACGCGGGCAAGAAAATGTATTACAATGCTACGAATGATTCTAAATTTTTGCATTTTGTAAAGAGAGTACATTTATAAAATGGTTCGTTAAATATTTGCTGAATTATCGAAAATTACAAAATTAAAATTTTTGCGTCATCTTCGTACAACTACAATATTACGTAAATACAGATTCAGAAAAAATATTTTCTGTAACAAGGACTCCATTTTTTTCTCAAATAGAGAAAAGTGTACTTAATAATATGGCATATATCCTATTTACTTTAATATTTTGTATTCTTGAAAATTGCAAAATTTTAAAATGGTGTCTTTACGACAACCACAGTAATTTTTTATTTAGGAAATTTGTTCCTCGAAATTAAATCTCTAAATAACGTCATGGAATTTTTTCTTCGATCTCGTCCGAATGCAATTAAAACTTCTAAATTTTCGAAAATTGCAAATGTTCAACTTTCCTTTTAAAGCGTCAAGAACGTTGCGTCGGTTCGGGCGATTGGAGAAGTGGTTCTTCTGCTCCTTTTGAGTTCGAATAATTTTTTTTTTTTTTTTTTGGTTGGTAACGTGTTTTGCAGCTACAAATAGTATAATATTAGATTAACATATGTATGAAGGGGTGTACCAGCTGAGCGCGCCAAAGTCAAAATTTCACCTCATTAAAAGTATCCAGACGCTTTAAGAACCAGACAGAGAAATATCGAAGTGTAGGACAGAAATCTAGTATTCGCTTTAGATGGCCCGCGAAAGATTATGCTGCGGCATGTGATACAGACAGTAAAATTGTGCTTCTGGTGATTCTTTAATCGATCTGGCCGATATCACATCCCCTTGAATTTAAAACGAGTATAATAATTTTGGTACTTCGCATAGATACCCAATTTCAAACTTTTCTCAAAAATGACTGGTTTTCTTTCATTTTATTTCTCACTCTCGAAAAAACTTACAAATATTGCACTATTTTCATTATTTTATTTCATTGAACTAAACATTTTGAAAATTTCAAGAGTTAAAATATTGGGGGACGACATTATTGGAGATAATGGATACGAGTGAAACATATTCTGAAAAAAATACCTTAAGTGAATTTTTTTCAGTCAGTTTTCGCGTAATTTTGGGTGAAATACTGACGATATAAGAAAAATACGTGAACAAGATTTTCTCACGATTCGAAAAGTGTTTTTGAAATTCGTTGCCAAAATAGAGCAATCTACGCATAGTAATACGGTGACATAGTTCAATTTTTTCGATCTTTTGTAACAGGAAATGTTTATTAATGCAATCTAATTTCCAATATTAGCTTTTAAATTGAGACTTGTAGAGTTTTTTCTTCATATGAGTAGTTTTAGCGTAATTAAGGTTCTATCGTTTGACTTTTCAAGTGATGCTAGTAGGATAGCAAGTGCAAGAATACGAAGGATGTTCCGAAAATATGTTTCGTCTTTTTGAAAGAGAAGATAGCGACTGCGGCCGAGTCGCTAGCTGCTTGGCAGTCTGGAGGCGCCGCGCCGCGTCTTAAGACACTAGTGTCGACGTTTTGGTCGCCATTCTGCGATGTTCCTCAGGGCGGAAATGCGTTTCACGGCCGAAACATTGGCATCTCTCCCTGTCAGCCAAGTAGGAAATGTTACACCAGGTTTGAAAGAAAAGATAGTTCAGAAGAATCCGTCTAAGAATGAGCCAAAGGGATAGATCTCTAAACAAGTGAACATCACAGGTAATTTAGAGAAGTATCCCTCCGCCGCCAAAGCTGTTCAGCCACGCCAATTTTATGTGTAATTACATAAAATCCCGTCGCTAATCAACACGGGCGGCGAGACACGGGTGTACCACTTACACCCAGAACCCAAGGCCGCCTCAATGACGTGAAGCAACCTGGTTGGCCAGTGGCACTGTCCGCAAGGGAAAAGCGTTGTGGGACGCGAAAAGCGGCTCTCCTTGACGTTCCGCGACTTCCTCACCCAACTCCCGTCCGCCTCTGCGAACGCGTGACATGGTGGCGTGGTGCGAGACATCCCAAGACCGCACTCCGCATGGCTCACGCATGACCATGGGGTAACGGTTAGCGTATGAAGCCGTAGATTTTCAAGGGCGAAAAAAGCCCTTCCTTCAAAGGGGAAGTAAAGCCGGTGTTGTAGATATACCGCATGTAAAATATCCTCAAGCCTAAAAGAAGCCTCTTGAGCTAAATTCAAATCACCTATTTCGTCGTCCGAGTAATACCTTCTTTCTCTGCTAGATGGTGAAAGGAGCGTAGCGAAATGTACGTGGTCAGACGGAAGAGCGGGCCTCATGGCCTGAGTCCCGCCACGTGAAATCCGGCATTGAAACGAATGGAAGAACAGAATCATAGCTTCGTACGGGGGCGATTGGAACACGTAGGTCACATCCCCGATCTTGCCACCATCGGTCTTCCACCCAATCCCTGCGTTGGAAGCCGCACTCTCTGGGCCAATGAGGCGGAGGAACAAGTTGTGCGACTCTTCCTTGCGTCGAAAGCCACCGAGTTTTACCATGGTGGCTTCTTCAAACTGATTGCGTGCTATGACAATGGTCTTAATGGCTGTGTCGAAAAATGTGCAAGGTGTATAGTTAATGATATCATGGTGTATTTTTATCGGGCAATAAAGTTTTTCCAAGTGGTGGTGGTAGGGGAAACAAACTAGAAAGAATGTGCTGATGTAGCACAACTAATTCCAGTCTCTTGCTCTGTGATATAAAAATTCATTAATTGCTCTTGCTCTGATGACTTTGTACACTTTGTAAGAGAATCTCCTTTGTATCATGGGACATAAAAAAATTGTTGAAATTAATTTGTTTTCAGCTGACTCGAAGAATAGAAAAAGTGCCAGTAGAAGAACGCCAAAGTTTGTGGGATGAATTAGTTTCAAAATTGGAGCCTCCAACATTTCGAAATGTACTCGATTACATAAAGAGATTTTTGAAGATAAATACAAGAAACAATGAGGTTTGTTAGTAATTTTTATGAATGAGTTTCATTTTTGTGATAGATGAATATTTTTTAAGGAAAGGGGGCAGTGGATTAAGATGCCCAAAACTGTCCCAGGAATAAATTTTTGTATGTTGAAAATCGTGACTGAAGTGTAAAAAAAAACAAACAAGTTTTTGGCCAAATTTAAATCAATTAAGCCAGAGTACTTTGTACAAAGGAAAAAAAAACTCTTTTTGCTACTTATGGTTTTTTTTTCCCTTTTTTTTTCTTTTCATTACAGTGATGAATATTGACTTTAATTATCCTTGCAATTTTCTATTGATGATAAAGATGTTCCGAGAATTTCTTACAGCGGGGAACTCATAATGAGCTGTGTATTGCCAGACCCACTCTTGTAATATTAGAACAACGAAACTCTGTGATATTGTATTGTGATTTTGTGTTTAATAAGATTTTTAATTAAGATAAAAAAAAATAAACTTGAGTTAGCCAATGTTAATAGAAATTAGGAGAAATAGGAATAAGGAAAAGAATGGAAAAAATATACCATTTTTCAATATGTAATACACACACATTACTTTTCTATTTATTGGAACAGGATTTATCTATTTTTTCTCTATCAAAGAGGTCTTCTATCGATAAATCATAATTTTTTTGCTGCAGCATCACATAACTTTCTCTGTACTATGTATATTACTCTATATAATATGTACACATCCAAAATAGTAAAAAATAAAGAAAGAAAATTGACCTAAAGTCGGGAAGCACTCACCATATCAAGTTGTAAATTGCCTTGTAAATATAGGCTCTATGACCGGACCAATGAAAAATTACGTAAAATGAGGGAACATAAAAATGGGGTATACTGTACTTCTCCAGGGTTTGTCTTTGGAAACAGGCCAAGCAGCCACATTGTTAGCACGTGTGCAGATTCAGAACCCCAGTGCTATTTTAAATACAAATTTGTTTGCATAAGTCTTAAAATATAAATAATAAAACAGTTCCTTTTAAATTAAAGACATTCAGCTTTTAGTACAAAAGTTATTTATTTTGTCTTTTAAATCTTTTTTACAACTCGGCAAACAGAAATGTTTCAGCTAAATGTTTTTAGCAATCTTCAGGCCTGCATTAGTAATACAAGTTGAAATATACCAATCTTCTACTCATTATTCTACAATAGAATAAAATATTTTCCTTATTTGAATAGTATGAGATGTAAATATTAAAGCTGTCTCAAGAACCATTCACGCTCTCTTTAATTGAAAGGGAACTGTGATGTTATCAATAGTAATTAAACATTCATATTAAAAATAGTTTCATGTAACATTATACGAATATTTTTGTTACTCCGAGATTTGAACTGTTATGTTGAAACTGCAATGTTGAATGTTCTAGTTTATTTTCAAATGTTTCTTATTCTTTGTATAAATATTTTCTCAGGAAATTAATCTGTCCGTCACTTTGTCATTGACAAATTATGTATGGCACCATCAATTTGCGAGGGTACAGAAAAATATTTCAAGTCATATATCAAATAATTTTAGAAATTTGTGAGTTTCTGAGAGGTTAAGAAATAAATAAACAAATTACCTGATTTGCCTAGATTAACCCTGATGCCTCCACATAGTATCTTGGCAGCTTAAAGACCATTCCCTCAATACTGAAAAGAGCTTGAGAAGGGTGTAGAAGCTACGTATGAAAGTCGAACGGAATAGAATGAGTTCCTTAAACTTGTAAGAGGGCATTGTGTACACTGTAATTTTGTAGGTAATGTTTGTTTTTGTATTTTGTATGATTAGGTGTTGGAGCCTCCAAAGTTCAGGATTCCACTTTGTAATCATTGTGGATTTCTCAACATACATAATGGGCAAAATGTAGTCATATGCTTCAGATGCAAGAGGAAACTGCCTAGTCCAGAGATGGCATAGATTTCTGTAAGTGCAAATTGTACCTTTGGATACCTTCAAAAAAGAAATGTCACCTACTCTATTGAATGATTTTAATTAGCCGCTTGGTGTATCGCACCTTACCCACACATCTGTATATTTATATAGACACAGTCCTTATAAATATATACTAATAGTAATTAAATAAATTCATAGTATTATGTACTTCACTGGCACTTTAATGAAAAGAGTTCACTCAAAATGTCTAAGACAGAGATAGAATATTAAGAAATGGGGGAAAATTGCCACTGTTTCTTAATACACACAGAACAGATTTAAAAGAATAAAAAAAGTTACACTTCATGAGGTAAGTTAAGTGGTAAATTGAGTGGTTGCCCTTTTCTGTCTTAAATGATTTGTAACTTTCTTGTACATCCAGTATAAAATGCTGCAAGAAATTTGTGTCTTTTCAAATGGAAATGCTCATTTTGGAGGTCCTTGGCACCAAAAAATGTTTTTCAACCCATCTCGCTGTTAGAATGTCTTAATTGTCTGTGTGTTGACGTCTCTGTTGATCTGCTCCAGTATGTGTCCGTCAGTCCGTTATTTTTTCTTATGTTATTTGTAGTTCAGCTTCCTAATATCTATGAAAGAAAAATTATGTTTGAGATGTGATATGTTGATCTATTTACAGGAGGACCAGAATTCTCTTGGTCAATTGAAAGAAGAAACAAAATAACTAAGAAAAAAAGGAAAGGGAATAGGTAAGGATAACAAATTTTACAGAAGTAATTTTAAGCAATTTAGTTCCTGGTTTTAATGCTTCTTTTGTTGATTTATGATTGCCTTTTAGGAATGGTTACCACAAGATGATAATTTCTGTGCTAGAGACATAAGAAACATTTCTTTTGGAAGGAACTTAATAAATAAAATGTGCCACAAGAACATGCTAGACTAAATGTCCGAAGCATTTTCATATTACAAAATTGATATTTGTTGTCAATTTTCATGTCTGTGAGTTGTGGGAAAGCTTGATAAAATTTTCATTACGTTTTTAAAATTATCATTTAACTCAAAAAATGTAAAAAAAAATACTTTCTTTTTTAATTTAAAATCTTTTTTTTAAAAAACTTTAAAAAACAAACCAAAAAAACATGTGTGATTTTTCTATGGAGAAGTGCAATGTCTCATTGTACATGGCTTTTCTGAGCTCTGGGATTTATTCCCAAGTTAATGTGAATTATGAAGACAGGTAGGAGCAAGCAGAAAAGAATTGATAAAAAAATATTACCTACCCTATAATAAAATATTTGGAAAAGAAAAAACTTCATATTTTGTTGATTATCCCTTTTTGTGCCCTACAATAAAAAATTTATTTCCATTTGTGTGAACACAGAAGCAATTATTTGAATAAGTATATTTCATACTGAGCTCACAGAAAGTTGAAGTCATATTTATGTCCAGAAGCAAAACAAGGGTCTATCTCAGCATTTGCTCAATGGATCAGGGAAACTCATGAAAAACCGGATTGAGATGCCCCCCATCACATTCAGGTTTTTCACGAGTTGTAATTGTCAGTGACCTGGAAGCTGAGGTACAATACTTGTTTCAAGTATATTTTGTCTTTTACAATTACACAGTACAAATGGAAGGTAAAGGTAGAGGTGCCCATGTAAAATTGCACAAAGGCTGATGCGACCGAAGGGGGGAGTGAAAGTGGGTTCCACCTATTTGTCGGCGACACTCTAAGGTAGAGATTGTGGTGACCAATGCAATATTGTATATGCAATTAAAATTAACTTCTAACTAGTGATGTCATTTTTTGTCTGGTGATGTAGTGATTATACTTGCAGCACAAAAATTTGTTTTAATGTGTTAAAGGTGTCTGTTTTGGTGATATGAACAAGAAATTTTATCTATTATTATTAGGATTAATACCAAAATAATTAAAAAAGGAGCACGGTTACTTATCAAATTTTAAAAAATATTTGAAGGTCAACATAAACCCCTTGAAAAGCACTCTAACTAAATTTTGTACCAATACACAGACTGCTTATACAATTTTCTTTGAGGACCAAAATCTTATTAAGGAGGATCAATTATTGACACCTTATGACTGATATAACAACCTCAATTTTAAATTGCTTTCCACAGTCCATTCGACGCAATTTCTGCAAATACGCTCTCCATGTCTTCACCACTGAATTTGCTCTCCTCCGCTTATAAATTGACCTTGACCCATTCCTCTTATCCTAGAACATCCCCACTGATATTTACTAGGCTGTCCAGGTGATGCGGCGTCACCCAGACAGCGTAGTAAATACTGACTCCGGCCGTGGAAGCCTACGTTCTCATCTCCATTGATGATATCTCTCAACACATTCATAGTTTTGTGAAATACATATTTAAAACACACACACACAGGATAAATACTTACATAATTGGTGAGGAGGGGATTGATTGCGTGCCAGAAAAAATGAAATAACAAGTTTCTGTTCACCTTCGTCGATGTGACTACCGCCAGGTGTGCAAGAACAATTTACTACCTGAGAGGTGCCCAGAGGAATAGGCTCCTTAGTGCATCTGTTTCGCGAAGATTTGGTATATTTCAAAGGCTTAGGTACTAACAGCCACCATGTCATCAGTTACAGATGAACAATATTTCATTTCCTCTATAAACCTTTTTTGATATCAGGAAATGCATGCTTGGAGAGAGAGATTTTTGTGCTAACATAATATAATCTACCCCACTTTGCATGAGAAATAATTGAAGTAAATATTCACCTGAGTGAAGTACATTGCATGTCTTGTATTTCTTCTGACTGGTTTAAAAAATATGTTTTCAAGAAATATCCTAAATTTGCACATTTTCATCTACAGGAAACAAAAAAAAAAAAAAAAAAAAAAACACAGATAAGCTCTTACAAAACAATAAACGCTCACAAATAAATAAATTCTTTGAAATGATGAAACATTTTAGAAATAAGTCTCCATTTTAATGAAATATGCACCTATAAGTACACAAATAAACGTCAACAAGAAAAATCAGCGAAATGTGCACAACTAATATGTTAATCTATATAGCATCGAATTCTATCCAAATGTCAAGAAATTTCACTTATTCTATGTGATCAAAAGTATCCAGATACGTCCAGAATAGTGTTATGGAGGGGGCTTGCCCCCCCTTGTTGTTTTGTGTGGCACTATCACGGCACAGGCCTAAGTGAAGTTTTAAATATCTTCTTGCTTCCCACTGTTGAAGAGCAATTTGGAGATGGCGATTGCATCTTTCAACATGATTGAACACCTGTTCGTAACACCTGTAGTGGTTTGGTTACATGACAATAACATCCCTGTAATGGACTGGCCTGCAGTGCTCACTTGAATCCTGTCAAACACTTTTGGGATGGTCTGGAACACTGACTTCGTGTCAGGCCTCACCGACCTACAATGCCTTTCCTCAGCGCAGCACTCCGCGAAGAATGGGCTGCCATTCCCCAAGAAACCTTCCAGCACCTGATTGAATGTGCAAGAGTGGAAGGTGTCATCAAGAGTGGCCTAACACCCTATTGAATTCCAGCACTTCTGAGGAGCAATCTTTGGAGAGCGCCACGACTCCGGATACCTTGATCACAGTGTAGCTATACACTGAAGCAACTGACAAAAATATGCAAAAATAAACTCCCTAGTGATCAGCAATATGTTGTAAAATGATGAACATATATTAAATGAATTTTTTTTGTGGTGACATTGACACTATTACCTAAAGAATGAGAGTCCTATTTCATGAATGTGTAATAATTGTAGACATTTTCATATCAATGTAATATTTTTCTTACGGTGTTCTACTGCCAGGAGTCATGACTAATTGAAATACTGTATGCAGAATAATTTTTCAACTAAGGAAATTAATATTCCTTAATTATAGTCGCATGTTCTGTAACAACCACATTCTACTTTGCAATTTGTTAAGAACTTTTTAGATTAATATGTAGAGATAATTAAGGAAACTGATCAGACATAATTTTTAAGTAACACAACTAAGTGTTAAATATCAAAGTATTTTGGAAACTAAAATATTTATTTTTTTTAGATTATGAAAATCGGAATTCAGGAAGTGTTTCTGAAGTCGCATAATAGTTATGAGTCCTCCAAAGCTCTCAATTGTTTATCCTGCAGTGTCTCTTCAGTTAAAATGTCATTGGCTTATAACTTCAAACAGATTTAATTTGAGGTTAAAACACCACCTTAGCAATTTTTGTGAAATGTAGATAAGACATACACACTGTATCTATTATTATAAATAGAACTTATTTTTATCAGACATAGAAACTTCATCTTTGCCAGACAAGAACTTAGTTGATATTTCGAATTTATTATTGAGACAAAGGATAGTGCAAAATCACACAAGCCTTTGAGATACAAGAGTGTTGAATTTAGGTACAGATTCAGATTAGAGAAAGGTTCTTTTCTTGAAGTTCTTGAGGAAATACAACCACATCTTGAAAAGTCAATATCAGCTTCAATGCAACTAATGATTATGTTAACATTTCACACAATAGGGGAGTTTCAAATACTCATTGGCTACTTTTAACTTACACAAGTCAATAGTATGCAGAATTCTGAGAAGAGCAACTTATTTTATTGTTTCGATATGACAAGGATAAATATGCCAAAGTGTGGAGAAATGAGGGATATTTGCGAAGTGTGAATTGCACCAGCTAATTTCTTGGCTATTCATAAATTTCCTGGTGTTGTAGGTTGTATTGATTGAACCTTTTCAGTCCCCTGGTGGCAATGCCTCTCCTCTGCACAAAACCGAAAATCATGGTTTTAAATGTGTGTTTGAAATGCTCACTTAAAATTTTGTGGTATTACTATCTACAGGCCAAGTTGAGAACATCTGAGCGCCGGTTTTCACTGCTTCATTTCTTTGAGCACATTTTGAGAATGGTGAATTTCAAAATAGCGTCTCACTCTGAGAGAGTGCAACAGCTATAGTGCGTAATTGTGAATGGAGATGCTGCAGCAGCCAACGCCACGAAAATTGTGACTTGAGGATAATGAGGAGAGGATCGAGATTGAGGATATGCTGCAGCCCAGTCTTATTGAAACCCATTTCACGTGAATGAATTCTAAATCTTGCATAATATTATGTAAACACATTTTTAAAAAATACATTGAACACTAACTATTTTCACATGTGTAGTAAGTTCTAATCATATACAGTAATTTCTAGTTAATGAAAAGGATGATCATAACAAATTTAAAAATAAAATTTCACAAAATTGTGTTAGTTTGGGATCGTCCATAAATTACGTGGCGCTCAAGAGTGGGGGAGGGGGGTTTAGAGACGGCTTTACCCGCATTACATAGGGGTACAGGATATTAAGTTTGTTACATTTTTCAACACTTACTGAAATAATGCCATTTTCTGAGACTTGTGCTGAAACATAAAATATTAACTAATTAGTTTTAGAAACACAAATAAATGAAAGTTAAAGATAAAAATTGGCACAAATGGTGATATTTTTTTATTAATTTCTTATTGAATCTGTAAAATAGCAAAGAAAATATTCAAAACTGACATGTAGTCTATTTTAAAATCCATTTACATTGGCGCAGTACTCCTGCCCATGAAAGGGTGTGCACAGATTGTGATAAAATAATTTATCTCTGCGTCCTTCACTCACAACTTGCCCCCAATTTTATTGTTAGGTGCAGTCAGTATCACCAACTAATTCCAACATTAATTATCATAAATTTTAATATACAACATACTAAATGAATACTAATTAATTTTTGCTGTGCTGTATCCCCCACCCCCCTGCGGGGGGACGCAAGCATTACTTATTTATTTAGGAGGGTTAAGCGTGCATTATAGGGGGGTATTCAAAATACTCCAAATTTGCATTATGCAATTTATGGATGGCCACTATGCTAATGGAGAATGAATCTGATTTGTAATTATGAGTTGTGTTGTAAATAATGACGGTGAAATTATCCACAACAGTAAAAATTGTACATTTACATAAAAGTTTGTTTTTTGAACTGCATTTCTTTCATATTTAATCCATATTCTTAAATTTTCATCAGTTTCCAGAAATTTGATTGTTCTATCATGATTTCCTGCCTTTTCGGATCAATTTCTGGGTTTAAATTTTTCAAACTTTATGTAATGAATTATAATCTGATGTGATTTGTAAATTTTTGGTTTTGCAAATTGATCTGAAAAGCTGACTGCAGACTTTTTCATTTTTACTTTATTCTTAGGTGACATTGGTGGCAATGCCAGAAAGGAGAGGGTATGATAGTGTTATTTTTGTGCTGTCTTTCCGTAAATCACTGCGAAGGGAATGTAGAAGGTACCTGGAAAATTGTAAAAGGAATTTCTGATGTATTTCGCAACTAGAAACTTAGTTTTTGATGTGACGTTCTTAAGACACAGCTTCAGGGTTATTGGGAATATTTAACACCATAGAAATCTCATTTCCATGAAATTCTGCACCAGTCAAGATTGTTTT